AATTTATGGAGGCAATGGGAATGCCTAAAGAAATCGCTGATAAGGCTACTAAATTATGTGAAAACCTAACTGTGCTAGGTCGGGTGGGTGAGTCTGAGGACGTGGGCGACTCCATACTATACCTGGCCAGTGACCATGCTGCTTTCATCACTGGCACTAATCTTATTGTGGACGGGGGTTGTGTTGCGGCCAATAATATCAACGCCGATATTCTTAAGACTAACTAAACTTATTATCTTGAATAAAATATTATATGTTAATGATTCATTTGAAAATAATATTATTTTTGTATTGTGAATGTTAGTATTCAATATAAAAATTAAATGTCTACATTAATAAATTATTTATAATACATAAAATAATCTAATAATGACTAAATATAAAAGTCTTATTTATACTTTAATTTTTTAAAGTAGATTAAAGCAAATTATGTTGAAATGTTAATAATTCAATTTCAAAAATATGATATTAATAAAAATAATTTACAAAATATGACTACAATTTAAATTATTACTTTAAAAATTATTAATGTACTGTATATGTTGCCAAAAAATTATGTGATATTAGTAAACAAGATCAACATTCAATTTATTGTTAAAAGAATTAAAAATTGCTATTATTACTAGTATAATATCATAGTTATAGAGAAACAGGATTTGTGAAAATATACTACATTTGTATTAATGATATAAATTTTATATACTATGGGATATACATTATGTGAAAGGTTATTATGTAATATGATAAGCCTATCCTTATTTATCATAAACATTTTAGTGCACCCGGACTATTGTATTCAATACACCAGGCGTTAGTGGAACAAAGTACAGTGTACTGTAACTAATGAATGCATTAACATCAGAAATAGTAAACATAATAACTATAGTATACTAGTAATGTAAAATGATTGTGTCCTTGGTTGCCTAATGTCCGTATTTTGACAATCTATAATATCAAAGTTTGATAATCTGAATTGAAAATTTCTATCTGTGTATGGGATATACATTATGTGAAAGGTTATTATGTAATATCATAAGCCTATCCCTATTTTTGATAAAAATTCAGTGCATGTGTACTATTGTATTCAATACACCAGGCGTTAGTGGAACAAAGTACAGTGTACTGTAACTAATGAATGCATTAACATCAGAAATAGTAAACATAATAACTACAGTATACTATTAATGAAACATGATTGTGTCCTTGGTTGCCTCTAAATAGTATAAATTGAATGGTATATAAAGTGACTGGTTGTGAACAGAATTTAAATATTATAAAAGTTTATGTGCACTGTTATATAATTCACAAATACTTTAATTTTTAAATTCTTGAAATAACTAAAATGTCCCTCACATTCAATTTCAGTGGTAAAGTAGTGCTGATCACAGGCTCGAGTGCGGGTATCGGTGCCGCCACTGCCGTACAGTTCTCCAGAGCCGGTGCTAATGTTGTGGTCACCNCGGTGCCGCCACTGCCGTACAGTTCTCCAGAGCCGGTGCTAATGTTGTGGTCACCGGTAGACGAGCCGATAAAGTGTCAGAAGTGGCCAAAGAGTGTCTCAAAGTATCACCGAAACAGTCGAAAGCACTGGAAGTGGTGGCGGATGTGACTAAACCGGAAGACTTGCGACGACTTGTGGACACAACTATCAAACACTTCGGAAAACTCGATGTTTTGGTGAACAATGCCGGCGCCGGTACTGTAACATCCATTAATAATAAGGATTTCTACGAGACTTATCTGAAAGTAATGCAAATAAATCTCAATTCTGTGGTCTATTTAACGCATATATGTGTCGAGCATTTGGAGAAAACTAAAGGAAATGTTATTAACATTTCAAGTATCGGTGCAATGGGACCCGTTAGTATAATTACTAGATTATAAACCCCAAGCAAATATATTTTATAACACTTCTAATTATCATAATAGTTCCAGGGTTGTACACCTTATTGTATGGCAAAGTGTGCGATGGATATGTTCACCAAATGTATGGCCGCGGAGTTGGGACCCAAACGTATCCGCGTTAATGTCATCAAGTAATTCACTTTTATAAAAATTATAAACAAATAAAATATCAACGATTATTAATTTAAAATACATTTCCAAACTAGCCCTGGTCCTATTCGTACTGAATTTATGGAGGCAATGGGAATGCCTAAAGAAATGTCTGATAATGCTTTTAAGGCATGTGAAAACTTAACTGTGTTGGGTCGGGTGGGTGAGTCTGTGGAAGTGGGTGACTCTATACTATACCTGGCCAGTGACCATGCTGCTTTCATCACTGGCACTAATGTTATTGTAGACGGGGGTTGTGTTGTGGCCTATAATACCAACGCAGATATTCTTAAGACTAATTAAACCTATTATTTTGAATAAAATATGTTGATGATTCATTTGAAATTAATATTGGTTTTGTATTGTGAATGTTAGTATTCAATATAAAAATTAAATGTCAACATTAATAAATTATTTATAATACCTAAAATAATCTAATATTGATTTAATATAAAAGTCTTATTTATAATTTAATTTTTTAAAGTAGATTAATGCAAATTATGTTGAAATGTTAATAATTCAATTTCAAAAATATGATATTAATAAAAATAATTTACAAAATATGACTACAATTTAAATTATGACTTTAAAAATTATTAATATACTACTGTAAATAAGGAATAGGTAGGAATGGGTGGATAGGGAGACAGTGAGTAAGGAAAATAAGGGGAACACCAGATTCGCACAAAAGCTAATTTAATCGACAATAAAAATGTTATTCG